GACATTTGTAGTCTGAGCCAAAACACTTACATGTCCCTTGTTTTTCATCTGTTTAGCATTGGACAGAGTAATTTCATATTAGGTTTGGAAAAAATCTAAAAAGTGAAAATGTTTCTAAAATAAAACTTAAATATGTCAAAATAAACAGATGTATATGTAATCTGTGCAATATCAATTTACCTTATTTGTGTTATGTTGGTAGTACATGTAAAAAATGTTTTTGTATTTTCCGCTCTCTTGCATACGGATCGTTGTAGAAAGTATGACGCAATATATAAAAACAGCTTGATCATTTAATTAAATCTTGGCCTTTTATTTCAAAATAACTTCAATATAATAGTCTAAAGCCCTTGTTGTTGTGTTGTTATGTGTAATAAGATTTTTATTTTAAGAATGCCATACCTAATATTAATATCGTCTGTAGTTTACGCGAATAGTGCACATTTAAATAAAACACTATAATTAAATACACTATTACTAGTATTTCGCGTTGCCCGTACTGGTTAATTAAATACTGTCTCCTCGTGACCACGGCTGCTGCAAAGCAACCGAAAGGTCGGGCCGAAGTTAAAATCATTTTAAAATAAGTTTAACTAATATATCGCGTTTTAAACCGTTAAAGTTAAATTTTAACATTTTAATTGTTTAAAACGCGAAATATATGTATAACATAATTCTTATAAAAAAAAGTTATTTAACTTTTTTTTTATTTAATTTAATTAGTTTTTAATTATCGTTGAATCTTAAGTAATAAAAAATGTAAAAGTTTTGTTTTTTGATAGAGGAGGACAGATAAGGACAGGGTTCGCTTGATGGTATATAAATATCCCAGCCATATAACATCTCAACAAGCGCTGTCGACCTGTTTTTAACTTTAAATATTTTGAAAAGTTTAAAGAAACAATTACGTATATTACTAACAAAACTTAATACTATATCATTTACTCTACAGTCCTAATACACATAATTAACTGTTTATTAAATGCGAAACTGAATAAACCGTTTCATATCTTCAACTGTATTTAATAATAACAATAAGTTTCTTCAATATTTGTAATATTAATTTTCATTTACGACTTATTATTGCATTTTAATAATAAGAAACACATTCTAGATAATTATATGTGTCAAAATGTAACGAACGCATAGATACACATTAACTTTGTAAAACAGGAATAATAAAGCAGATTATAGTATAAATGTATATCTTTAATAGTTCCATAGATACTGGACTACTGCAGACTATATGGCTATAATATTACGTAATTAAAAGCAAGAGCATCGCGTACCTATATTATGCGTGCACGCCTGGTTAATAATAATGACTGCGCATTTTTCACGTCGCGTAATATATTCCCGCGGGTAAGGTGGAGGTAGTTTTTCAGAGCGTTTTTTGTCACGCGAACACATTACACATATTTATAGTTAAAAGATCATTTGTTGAAATGGAGCCAAATTCCCTCCGCCGGCTTTCAACGGAATTCACAAAAAGCGCTATAAATTGGCAAATAATCCCCCGCATAACGCAACCTTTGTTTGGCCACACGTGCTTTTAATATTTCTGCTCGCTACAAAAGCTTTGTGCGCCACCTAAAGTAAACACTCGTAAAAACGAAGTTCGATAAGAATGTGTTAATAAATTTTATTAAACGTCCAGAACGCTCGGTTATTGAGACGTCGCAACAATGTTCCGGATCGAATTTGTCATGAAACTTGGTGCATTGTGTTCGATGAATGCCGCGTGAGAAGGAAGAGCTTCCGGTGATGTATGCTGGGATCGATGCCCCGAGCGATATCTTGCCATCGATATTCAATACCGTTTTTTATTCCGCCACGATTTTTTCTACTCTATTCAAGCGACGTTCTCATGACGCTCTAGTTGTAATAAATTTCGGACGTGCTGTATGAAGATGCATAGATTGTGTTTGATTTATACGTATTTAATTATCCACCATCCAGAGATGAAAAATCTGTAAAGTTATTTCGCGTTCTTCTTCAGTCTGTGGATGTCCGAATATTGAAAGCCAAAATAGGTCAGCGCATTCTGTTAAGATGTTATAAAATTCTTATGTCAAATTAAATACTGGTTTTTATCCAAGATAATATTTAATAAAGTGACATCACTTAAGACTACCAACATACTGGTACTCTCAAAGACGCCAAACTAAATTAACGTAGGTAGGTTGGTCCAATGTCTAAACTGTTAAGCCCCCTTTTATGGAAGGCGAATAGATAGAAACAATTTTTAGTAACGCTCAACAAAACTGCAGTAAATATTTATCATTGACTCTGAAACATCGCGGTTTTGACTCGACGTATAAACTCAATAATGAGACATCGAATCCGCATCAATAAAACATACGCAGAGACGTAGAAAACACGGAAAATGCTCGCATGGAGCAGACCGTGCGAGCAAAACCGACGTTCGAACAATCGAAGCGAACTTATAAAATATGTATTCTCGTGCTGGCTTTTGTAACTTGTACCCGTATCTGCTATTTTGACCGCGATCGGGATTTTTCATAGCCATGAAAGGGGAAAAATAGTTTATATAGAACATTGTTATCGACGTATCCCTGTGAAGCGCTTGCTTGCATATTCTGGTTTGGAAGTTCGGTTTTTACTTGTTTTCTCATACGGTTTGTGATTTCATTTTGAACCTATTGAAGATAAGAATTTGTATAGTACTCGTAGTTGAACGCTCTTAATATTTGTTTTCTATTGATGTATATGGTAGATGTATTAAGTGAAATCCTGGCGAGGCGAGGCATCGGGCGAACACATTTTACAAACTGTTTAATCTCAAATTCACACTTTATTACAAAAAATATTTTGCATGTAAAAATTATTATAAAAATGTTTCCTCATTAACTTATCTATTACTAAAGTTCTTTTTAGCTTTCTAAATTAATTTGAGATTAAAAGAAAATAAAAAATATTCCAAACTCGAATATTACGTACCAAATACACTCTTGTTTGAATTGTACTTACTTATTTTTAGTTTAGTTTTAAACCGTTAAAATTGTTTTATTTAAATGCTTATTACTCACGAAAACTACAGACCCTCTTAATTATTATGTTTTATTTAGCAGTAATTTTTAAATTAAGTAACTTAAAATAGTCAATTAAGAAATAAAATAGGAAGTCGGCCTAACACAGGAGCTGACAGATGACATCCATAAAATTGGCGCAATCTTGATGTCTGCATTTCGTTATCTGTGGGTTGTGTAGAAAAGAAAAAATACAAGCCATTATTCTACGGTCATTAATTAAGTGACCAGACGTTGGATACCTTAAGATAATGCGTGTCACCAAGTGCAGGTAACAATGGCTTATAGTTTTTTTAATCTAAATATTCGCCAATGTTTTATACTAGAATTTTTATGTATTAAAACATTAAGTTTGTATGTATTTATACTAATACCTCACGAAATAATGTTAAGTTTATTTGAAATATAATTTATGCCATGTACCACAACTAAGTCCGATAACATATAAACTGACATTTATAATCCTTTTTTGTCTACGCACTTGTCATTGGTTACTTAAATGTTTAATTCTAAAAGCATTTTTCTATATTAGAATTGTTTTTTTAATTTCATGGATTCTAAAGTTAAAAAATGCTACTATGAATACTGACTTTTATATTTTTTCAGCGAGTTAAGCCAAGTTATGTTTTTGTTCAAAATATTACCTTCCCTTGTTAAAATAAGCATAAGAGCATATGTTTAGGAAACATAATTAGATGTTTTGGTCAAACGAGGTATTAAAGTATGATCAATTTCTCTTAAAACACAGATCCGTAAAAACACCAGAAACATTCGTTAGAAAATATAATTTCAAACAACAAAAATAAAAAACTATAATAAAATATACTTTATTCTCTTTAAAATTTTAAAAATTATTTAGATTCTTTAAAAAATTCCAAAAATGTTTGTCTGTCTGTTCGTCGTGATTCTACAGAGTGTTTAAAAGAGCAACATAACTGAGAAGAACACCCAAGAAACTCAGTCCGCCTTTTTTAACATGTCTAAACATTGTTTTAAATTTATTAACCTAAGTTACAATTCATATTACTTCTTGTTATTAAAGAAATCGTTCAGACAATAATACGCCTTCTGAGACAATCTAAATTGTATAACCATTTCAATTTATTTATCGATAAATTTGAAACCCCAACTGGCAATGAGATTCAATTCTTACATACGACTACACCACAATTAATTCACGCAATATAAAAATCTAGGCATCGCCATTATGCGTTGGGGCGCCAGCGCGACGCCAAAGTTCGTCAGCCGCATTTATTACCATCCCGACCGATCGAAACGTCATTTTTAACAGTCATCACTAATTTGCCATTGTTTTGCCCGCTGACGCCACGTTTTTGCTAAAAACCATAAAATAGATAAACATTTTGTTGCCCGGGTGTCATTAATTGATTATAAAACTTCTAGACGATATGCAATCTCGCAGTTCGACCGAATTTTGATGTCTAGGGTGGACAGGCAATTAATAACACTTATTTTTTTTACTAAGAAATGAATGAAATCATGGTTTAAATGTATGTATTAATTTGTATTACTTTTGGTCGATTTTTAATGTGTACACTCATTTACATTTTAAGCTTTGTACTTCTTGCACATTCTACTGAATAATTGTATATAAAGTATTATCTATAGTTTACGCGAGTAGTACACATTTAAATAAAACACTTTAAACAGTTCAACACGCGAAATTTATATGTAAATTTATATTCTAATTTCTATGATATTTCCTATCGTTCAATATTGTGTTTCTAATTTTGTTTGTAAATCAAATATCGTGTTGTGTTTTTAAATAACATTACTTAAACGTAGTAGTAACGTAAAAGTTATCAGTTAATATTAGTTAAACTTTACAAATTATTTTTAACTACGGCCCGATGTTTCGGATGCTTTACAGCAGTTTTATTTAATTGACTACTATGTTAAAGTACAGATAATATTGTGTGTCTTGCGTGTTTAAGATATAAAAACGGTCGGCAGTGTCGCGCCGTCCTCATGGAAACGAAGCAAGCTACAGTGGAATAGATGGTGATTCCCGACGCTCGTATCTCGTAACGCAGCCAATATGTTAGGCGCCAGCGTCGTAGGCATCAAGGAGGAATAAAGCACGGTGCAATAAAGAGAATGGATGCCGGCCATCGCCGGGCACCGGCCGCCGGCAGGATTACCCGAATCGCCACTATTTATCGCTCCGGCCTTGCGCCCAGGTGCCATCGATCTATTTAATGATCAGGTCAGCACGTACTCTAGCTCTTTTTGCCAGCGCCCGTCGCACAAAACGAAGACGCAAAGGCGTAGACCGGGAGATGGACGTTTGATGAGGCTCTTTTGTGTCGATCGCCGGCGTTAAAAGGGTTTTGGGCGCTGTGCCTGCGTCACTTTTGCATTTTAAACCGGCTATCGCCGATATTGATGACTAATTTCGATGTATGTGCTTACGGGTGCGAATAAACTATGTCAAAGTTTAATGTTTTGCATGCAAGTTGCAGGAAATGGTTTTCTTAAAGTATCTTGGAGATACCTAAAAATGATTAGTAGTAGTTTTTCACTATTAACAACATAACATAATTTATTATTGATAGGTACTAAGATATTTCTAGGTAATGCTCTGCAGCCATTGTGTTTTGATATTTTGTAAGCCTTATTTTCAACAAGCAATATTAGTATTAAATACTCATTGTAACTTTGAAAAACAAAAATTTGTCCCCGTGATAAAAATGTGGATAATTTTCTGATATAGTTTGCGCCTATCGTAAAATCCACAAGAAATTGTCATTTAGATCATTATATTATTTGCTTTTGCAAGCAACCTCCCGAACCTTTTAAATTATAACAGTCCCCCATGACGTCGTTCGCGATCCGTTCTTCCTGCAAGTGAATTTTAAATGATAGAGATAATTTAAAGATTACCTACATATTAATATTTGTTAAACGTTTTCGCAGCGCACGCAATAGAAACCACTAAAGATTAATATTCTTCTCTATTTTTTCCACTATTTCCTGTACTACTTTGCTCCTTTATTATTAGTCGTAGCCTTCCTTCATAAATGGTCCAACCAACACAAAAAGATTATTTTAAATTCAAACCTGAGATTACTGCCTTCAAACAAACTCTTCAGCTTTATAATATTAGTATAGTAGGCTACAATTTAAATCCTGTCTATAGTTTATGCGTGTACACATTTAAATAAAACACTTTAACGGTTAAAAACGCGATATATTAGTTAAACTTATTTGAAAATGATTTTTAACTTCGGCCCGACGTTTCGGATGCTTTGCAGCAGTCGTGGTCACGGGGAGACTCAGACCACGGTTCAAGTGTTTTATTTAAAAGGCTACAATTTGATAAATATAGAGTTTGTTAGACAAAGACATTACAGAGCTAATTCCAGTGAGTCCAACGAAGGGTCAATAGTACAGATATGGTTTGGACACAATGCCGGCGGAGCTATTAGGTGCACAGCGGTCATACATCTGCCCGGATCGTGCGCAAAGCAATGCATACGAGGATTTGACGGCTCTTAACTCGATGTATGGGCCCGCCTTTGTCTTTGATCTTTGTGTTTTTGTTCGCAACTGGGACATAAATCACGACCATCGCTCGGAATTAGGGGAACCTGAATGCTTGTCGTTTAGACTTACGTTTCAATTGGTTAGGTGACGATTTTATCACGTGAAAGAGACAATTGGAGAGTATTTAAATAAAACACTTTAACGGTTTAAAACGCGATCGGTATTAGTTAAGCTTATTTGAAATGGTTTTTAACATCGGCATGACGTTTCGGATGCTTTGCAGCAGCCGTGGTCACTCGCGTGAACTATAGACAGTATTTAATTGGAGAATGTTCCAAGTGAACATGACTTGGAACTTTCTGAATATCCAAATATAAAATAGGTCACTATTTAGATGTTATATGACTGGAATATTTCACCTTCTGTCAAGTGCTTTCTGTTATGCTTGTCTGTCTCCTTCTATCATAGAAAGATTTATCTCGGCTTTGGACATTCAGAAATCAATAGATTTAAGTCGAAACGCTGATTAAGCCATTCATGACTTTTTCATCTGTGGACTTTAGAAGCCCAGGCGGAAAACGATATTTCTACACAGTTAATATCCAGATTTTCCAGATGAACACGACATGTTTCAATAAGTAAGATTTTAGAATCATATTAGAGTCAGTGAAATTGGAACTCACGATTCGTTGCTTAATTGACATATGTTTCAAATTTCCATCTCTTTTAATATAAAAATTATATCATCAGTCATATATTATAAAATAAATCTTTATTTCTTATATCGGTTAAATATTTGTGCCGACGCCAAAAGTATGCATTGATCATATCACGAGAATCGCTTGAAAGAGCAGAGGATTTCAAATCAAATATAAACTAGGCTATTTTACTTAATAAAGGACATGGAAATTCCAGCAAGTGTTTGTTTGCATTACCACACGACAATTTTTTTATTGAATTCGAAAATTATATTTAAGTAATTTTTACACTACGAGAAATTTACCGTTTACTCGTGATTCCGTATTGAAATTAATTAAGATGTTTTTGCGATAAACGTAAATAATAATTTATTAAATCTAAATGAGAACACGACAATGTCCAATGTTTAAATAAAATTAATATTCACTGTAATACCAATAATTTTGACAGTTATTTAATTTACTGCATTTACAATTATAATTTACCCCATTCCATACATCAGTTATATTTGAAATCAAAAGACAACATGGAAGCAAGAACTTCTCGTGCCGTGTGACAGTGGAAACGCGCACTGTCGTCCAGCGGTAGGCGGGCTCAAAGTTCCGGTCAAGTCGCGGGCGGCGCTCGGCTTCCGTTTCTCCAATTTGGCCACATTCACGGGGCAAGACGTTCCGCACCCCACCCTTTACCTACTGCCCCCCTTTTCACCCCCTACAATTCGTGCTTTAGATCGTTTATCGCATCTGTAATTTTATAAAGTAAATACACGAGCGGATAGTATAGTGTGTAGTTTACGAGTAGACTTTGAAATTAAATACTTTTAACGGTTTAAAACGCGAATTATATAGTAAACTTCTTATATTATTTGACTACGGCCCGACGTTTTAGATTAGAATTATTTGTTAAATTGGATTTATTTGCCCCATACCTAACATAGAAAAACAAACTTTGTATTGGGTATATATATATAAATTATATAGGTTTATATGTATTTACAGTGTAAGTAGTGGTACGGAATATTTTTTCTTGTAATAATAAACCTATTTCTTAACTTTTTTAGTTTATAAATATCTCACTTATGACACATTTTTTTCATTCTTCAATTTAAAAATAGGTAAGAAACAAATTTATTTTAAAGGTAATCTGCAACATAAGAGTTATTAGACTTATTATCGTCATTTCTTGCCCTTTCAATTTCGCATCCAGCTTATGTCCACATAAGCTGGATGCGAAATTGACGGATTAGATTGTAATCCTATGGTGGCCCCAATTTACCAGCTCGCTACAAAGTCACTCAAGACACTTAAACAAATATTATGTCTTCTGTACATTGCGTGTTTTGTTTATTGCAAAATGGTAAGTCTTACACAACAAGCAATGTATAGCCGTTCAATTTTCTTTGTTTCTATATGTCTGTGTTGTTATAAAGAAAAAGGACGCGTATAACGAGGAATTATGTGGGATCTTAAAATCCTCTCGGGTCAAGGCAATTAGGTATTAGCTTCCCCACAGCACCTTAATGTTTGAGTGAATAACCTCTTAATGTTAGAGTAAGCAGGTAGGTATACCTGTTTTATCATAGAGGAGGACAATTTGATGTAAGGTGAAATACTTCTACCATATAACATATAAACATGCATGCTTTAGAGCTAACTTGGCTTTAGATATTCAGAAGTCCACAGACTAAAACCGCAATGCGATTACTTCGTGATTATTATCGCAACTTCATGAATTTTTCCTCTGTGGTCGGTGATCATGATCCGGACAGAATTTTTATATATCACTTATTTAATATCCAGGTTTTTAATTTCTTTTATATATTTTTTTTCTTGGGCCCGGTTGAAATCGAACCCACACCCCGTTGCTTATAAGGCTTCAACAAATTAAACGTTTTCGAAATTAAGAATATGATCATTGGATCTACTTGTTAATTGACCTTAGAATGTTGTTTATATACACAGTTAAATATTGTTAAAAATAGGTTGCTTTTGATGATTTCTTTATACAAATTATGTTTATAAAATTGATATTTTCTTTAAAAAATCAGTTTAGAACTGGTCAATGTTATCCCAACTAAATTCGTATATGCATTACTTTCGTGTATAACATTAGTAAAGATAAAACTAAGTACTGACTATAGTTCACGCGAGTACACACACATTCAAACAAAACGCTTCTAACGGTTTAAAACGCGAAATAATATTATTTAATATAATAAACGTAGGGGAGTAGTTAAAAAAAAAGAAAGTTTACTTTATAAAATTCGCGTTTAAAACCGTTATTTATAGGTGTTTTATTTTCATAATTAAAACTATCTAATGTACACGTTAACTCAACTGTTTACTTTATCCTATCGATGACCCAGCATTTTACCCGGAGGATTTCAAGGGCGCTCAACGGAAGCACCGCTCGCCTCATTTTGCATTTCCCTTCAAAGCCCCAGAATTTAGTATAATTAAGGCTTGACAAGAAGTATTTTTCCCAATAACGCGAGGAAGACGCTCACAGGTTCACACTATGTACACGGCGACGACAGCTCATTAAGAGTCGGAAGGGTTAAAAGTCTACGTATCAGGTTTTTGCAAAAAGAGGCTTAATTAGGGCTCATGCGGCTACCCTACAACCCCTGTAACTTTTAATAAATGTTCGAAATGCGCTTTACATTTTATACGTTACGTACGGGACGGCTTAAACGGCAAGTTTCATTTTGCTAACGAAATTTGACTCGTAAATTTTTAATTATTTTTTTTGAAGGGATTTCTTTGAGGGGGAACTTTTGACTGGTGCTTGGGATGTTGGTTTGGCTTATAATGGGTCGTACGTATTTACACCATGCCTTGAACTTATGTCTGATTCTTCAAAACGTAGATGTTAAATGGGTAATAGAGTTTTTGAATTCCGGTTTAGTCAACTCTAGAGTGTAGTCTATTATCTCCTTAATTCAAAATAAATCTTAATGAAATACTGTCTGTTGTTTACGCAAGTAGTACATATTTAAACAAAATACTTAAACGGCTTAAAACGCGATATATATAAGTTATAATTAAATTATTAAAAAGTATTTTTAAATAAGTTTAACTGACATATAATATGTAATCTTAATGAATTAAAAAAAATAATGGTTCAAAAAGATAACGTAATCATAGTTAAACGCTTATAGTATGTATATGAGTAGGGTAGTTTGACATTTACGTAAAATAGTTTATTGCAACAAATACAATGTAAGTTATTTAGATTCAAATAATAATATAACAGTACTGTTTTCTATTGTTTGCAATTGGCGAAGATTCACAATAATATGTAAGATTGTTATTATTGCAACAGCTCATTTTGTTGTGGGGTTATGGTTTCCCACGTAGGTATGGCGCGTGGCCGCTCACCAAGTCCTCGTGGGAAGGTATTAAATATCTCGAATCAGTGCACTGGCGTATCTCAATGAACTCCAGATCGCTACGACTGATAGTGTTATGTTTGATCACGCCACCATAACACGACCTCACCTGCCCTTCACATATCTATGGGCTCGCTCTCGTTTGTTTTAAATGCACGGCTCAGCGTAGCCTGGTCGTAATATTTTAATAAAACGATGAACCAGCTTATCAGCGCCATCTGCCGGCGGCACAATGACGGATCATCCCGTAATGCGGACGGTAAAAACACGGGGAGTATTATAGAGTTTTTGCGAGCACTATTCCGGGTTATTGTTGCTTGTTCATGGGACTCTTTAGTTAATGATACTTTATCTCTTAACATCGGAACGTGAATCGTATCTCAAGGATCTTGTTCTTCGGATACCCAATGAAATTTAATAGTTGCATATTCAATTTGCGTATGCGCGTATTTTATGTTAAAACTTTGTAAAATAGGATACGCTATAGGATACAGAAACTTATAATTATTTCGAGATAATAAAACACCACTATTAATCACTTCGATTATGGATATGTGGAAAATATATTAGAATAGAATAGAATACTTATATTCAGAAACACAACATTTACAATTAACTATATTAAGTTATAAGTTTAAGAATTAACTATATATAACCAGAAAAAAGTAAATAAAAATATAATTTTTATTAAATACGACAATTTAGTTACCTCTGAAAAGCAAGCCACTCAGCTACGGTAGGACATACGCTACGTTAGGTTGTTTGACATTTTATCTATTTCATCATTTTATCTTCCATCAAGTGAATGTATTTTTAATCGTTACCTACATCTAGCCGCATGTAAGGAAATTCTTTCCGATTTCCTTTGGGATTAGAGAAATCATCTTCAACCGTTTTATTATGTAAATTGACACTGTTTACGCGTACAGCCCAACAATAATGAGCATAAAGCCGCTGCCACAGTGGCGGCGTATCGGCGCAATCTGAAACTGAATGGAGGTTATTTACATAGCAATAAGGCGGAGATAGCGTCGTCTCTAAACCGGCCTTATCTCTCTTATTGCCTGTGTGCACGCGGCTTATGGTCGGAAAGAAAATGAACTGGGGCGTCACGGAAATAAAGAGCCTTTAAACGGCTTCGCTTGATTTATCAAATCTGAAATTGAGATTTGAGAGTTGTAGCTAGGTGTTACTGGCGTTATCTATATTCACAAACAATGTATACTAGCTGTGCTCGCGAATTCGTCCGCGTGGTATAGTTCTTTTGGACATCAAAAAATATTTTTGCAAACTACCTTCTAGCTTTATAAATTATAGCTATAACCAGCTACGTCTTCTATGTCCCGCTCTTCTTGCGAGTAAATCTTAAATATTCATAATATACACATTTTTGATAATTCAATTGGGAATCATTCTATCATACCTATTTTTTGGTTCTTGAACTGTTTTTTGTGGATAGTTTAATATTGTAAAAATATGTTACCTACCTCATGATAGTGTTGTCGTGTCGGCATTTTTTTTATAGGTCTTCATAGCAAAGCTATAATTATTAGAGTCGTAGTTTAAATAAAATACAAAAGGAAATTAAACTTTTTAATAAGACGAAATGCAAATAAATGCAAAGCAAGTAACAGTATAACTCTAACAAGACGACAAAAAAGGAAAGTAGTGTTGTAAGAAAAAAATCTTTAGTTGTATATATTCTTCTTCTTGCTTATTTTAATAAGACTCAAATTTGATAAAACCTATGCATCAGAATCAGCTAACGTATTACAAGCCTTTAAATATTAAATTAAATAACAATCGCGCAGGGGTTGAGGCAAATATTAAAATGAAAATTTATGAAGTGTGACTGCGGGGTCGCGCGCCGTGGCGAACCGATTTGTATGGAAATTTCATAAACGTTTCACTCAACGGGTGCTTGGCCCGAAGGTGTCATTTGATGGCATAATTTGGGCCCGACATAAAACCCGCCAGATTTATGTTTGTTTGCACGTCGCTTTATTGAATACTGCGGAGAGGGATCTTTTATGGTTTCGCTTTTATGTATGGTAGCCGTACAGCGTTTGTTTTGTTTTGCTTAAGAACATAACTATCACTTACAATCATTAACTTATCTTATATTGATGGCTAAATTTTAAAGATATGAGAATGAATGATCTAAGAATTGTGAAAGTTGACAGATTATAAAGAAACAATTCAAGGGGTTTTTACTTTTTTATGATAAAACGAGGATAGACAAGCACGTGGTTCAGTTGATGGAAGATGAAATACCCAAGATTTTAACAACAAGATGCGCTGTCGAAAAATTATGACTTTGGACTTTTAAAACCAAAACGCGAACAAATATCAAGCCTA